AGGTACATGAGGCAGCCAACAAGCTCTGGGTACGGGCCACTCGACTCTACGGACTCATCCGAAGGCAGAGCTGAGAGCGAGTGGCGAGTAGGCAGAGGAGTGGCCTGAGGTAAGGAGTATGTGAAGCCGAAGCGTTGAAGGACCTGCTGCACAATGTGTGACTGAGTCAGGGTGATGGTGCGGCGTGCTCTGTCCCGGGTGATCTGCAAGCCAAGGTAGCTGCGCAGTTCACCCAGGTCTGTGCACGTGTGTCTCTTCTTCAGCTCGGACTTAACGTAGGCAAGTCCAGCAGTGTCAGCTGTGGCAAAGACCAAGTCGTCGACGTACACGAGGATGTAGAACGGCGGCAGAGAAGTGTCGGTGCGTAGAAACAGCGTCGGGTCGGCAGTAGAGGGAGCAAACCCAAGAGCCGCAAGCGTAGTCCTCAGTGTGTCGTGCCACTCACGCGGTGCCTGGCGGAGACCGTAGACTGGCCGCCGGAGGCTCCACTGGGTGCCAGGAGGAAAAGTCCCAGTGAAGCCAAGTGGGCGGCGCAGCCAGATCTCCTCGTGCAGGCTGCCCTGCAGGAAGGCAGTGCTGAAGTCAAGAGAGTGTAGCTCGTAGTCACGGTGAGCAGCTACGTGCAGTAGGACCCGAAGAGTGGTCATCTTCGGGGTGGGAGAGAAGGTTTGAAAGTAGTCAACTCTCTGCCGGTGACTGAAGCCACGAGCCACGTAACGCGCCTTGAAGACAGGCGGAGAGCCCGGCGGCCGCTTCACCCTGAAAATCCACATGCCACTGACGATGTTCGCCCCAGGAGGGGGGACAGCGTCAACGTAGGTGCCTGTGGACTTCCAGGAAGCCATCTCTGCATCCATAGCTGCCTGCCACTGAGAAGAGTAGGGACCCTCTATCGCCTCCGCGTAAGAGCGCGGAGTCGGGATGTCAAGTGCATCCGGGTCTCCCTCAGGGGTAAGCAGTACGGACACGAGATGAGGTGAAGCGGCGGTAAAGCACTGGAACTCCTCCTGCCTGTCCTCAAGGACGTGCGTGCCAAGAGCACACTCACCCGCGACGGACGACGGACAGACAGACTCAGACTCAGCGACAAGACTAGCAGCGTAGTCTAGACGACAACGAGCAGCAAAGTCGACGAGCTCAGCAACTAGGGCAGACGCAGCAGTGGACTCAAAAGAAGGGTCAGTGACGACAGTAGCAAGAAGACGCGTGACAGTAGGACTGGCAGCACGAAGAGAATCCGACTCCGGGTCGGGAAGAGCAGGAAGAGAGGACTCAGGAGGAGAAGGCAAAGGGGCACGTAGAGGAGCAGTGGACTGACACAGAGACATCCGGTGCGTTCCAAGGACAGGAGGAGGACGGTGACGCGAACCGCAACCACTAGTGCGAGCAATACGGACAGGCAACGCAGGGCGAGACGCAGGCTCACGACGCTCAGCAAGACCTCCAGTAGGACCAGTGTAGGGAGATGGAGCAGGCAGTAGGGAGGCGGGCTGTAACTGTAACCGTGACTGGACAGGCTGTGGACACTCTAAGGGAGGAGGAGGACCGAGAGAAGGTGGGAGACCAAGAACCTGCTGAAGGAGCGGAACGAAGTACGGCCGCTGCCGTGCAGCGACTCCAGAACCAGCAGAGACACCAGCGCCAGGGTCCTCCGCACCAGGAGCTGCTCGAACGCCCGACTCCACAGCACCAGCAGCAGCACCAGCTCCAGGGTCCTCAGCACCAGCAGCAGCTCCAACGCCCGGGTCCTCAGTACCGGCAGCAGCTCCAACGCCCGGGTCCTCAGCACCAGCAGCAGCACCAGCGCCCGGGTCCGCAGCACCAGCCGTAGCTCCAACGCCCGGGTCGGCAGCACCAGAAACAGCTCCAACCTCTGGGGCCGCACCACCAGCAGAACTAGTAGAGTCTTCAGCACCAGTAGCACCACCAGCAGCAGCGGGGTCCGCGACACCAGGCCTGCCACTCCGAAGAGTGCAGCGCCGCTCGTACCACTCACGGATCCGCTCACGGGAGGGGAGCTCCTGGCTAGGAGGAGAAGCACTAGCACCAGTCCCAGTAGTACGCCTGGCTCCAGAGGTACCTCTCCTGAGGCTGCAGTACTGGAAGTACCACTCAGGCAGATGCTCCGAGGAGAGGGCTCTGCCAGGTGTAGGACCCTCAGGCTCAGGACCTCCAGACTCAGAACCCCCAGACTCCGGACTCTGCGGCTCAGCACCCCCAGGCTCAGTACTCCCAGGCTCAGCACCCCCATGCTCCGCACCCCAAGTCTCAGCACCCCCAGGCTCCGCATCCCCAGGCTCCGCACCCCCAGGCTCCGCACCCCCAGGCTCCGCACCCCCAGGCTCAGCACCCCCAGGCTCCGCACCCCCAGGCTCAGCACCCCCAGGCTCCGCACCCACAGCGGGACGAGAGTCGACAGCTACCTCAACAGGCTCAACCGGGTCTACCTGAGACACACCTGAGGGAGCGGCACCCTGAGGGGGGAGGGGGTCTACGACAGCAGCACCTGGCGCGAGGAAGAGAGGCGGGGGGGGGAGCGGGGCATTGCGGTAGGGGAAGAGGCGGTAGTAGGGGACGGACTCGTCAAAAGTGACGTCCTGAGAGGGCAAGACTCAGCGCGAGGTGGCGTGGTAAAACTGCCAACCAGGCGCGTCCGGGACAAAGGCGAGGAAGACGCAGGGAACAGCACGGGAGGAGAGCTTGTCCGCAGACGTATCGCGGACAAAAGCTCGAGATCCCCAGACCCAGAAACGCGACGCATCGCCAACCTCCCCCATCCACAGCAGTGTGGGCGAGGTCTCCGGCAAGGAGACACGGGGCCAGAGGTTGAGCTGATGCACAGCGTACCGGACCGCAAACGGCCACAGAAAGTGGGGGGCAGCCGCATGGATCAAGGAGGTACGGGCGACCTCCATGACCAGGCCAATGCGGCGCTCTGCAATCCCATTCTGCTGTGGAGAGGCCGGAAGCGTGAACGAGTGCTCAATGCCTTGCTCAGCACAGTAGGCTGCCAAGAGGTCGGAGGAGAACTCACCACCTCTATCAGAGTGCAAGCGCAGGACAGGAAAGTCCGAGTGGAAACGCTCGCTGAGCTGGAGACGGGCTCTGCGGATCCAAGGGATCAAGACATCAGGGACCTCACCCTTGGTGCGCAAGGGGAAGACCATGGTGTAGCGCGAGTAGTCGTCAACAACTATCAGGAAGTACCTCTCCTGACCCTGACCACGGATGCGGGCTGGGCCCCACACGTCCATGTGGAGCGTCTGCAAGGGAGCAGTCGTCGGGGGAAACGAGGAGGAGTGAGGAGCGGCGCGCTGCCGCCCCTCGACGCAGGGAAGACAGGGAGGAGCAGGCGAGGGTGGGAGGGGAGGGAGGACTCTGGGAAGACCGGAGACAAGGTACCGGGAATGTATGGCACCAAGGCGCTGCACAGACGGGTGGCCAAGTCGGTGGTGCCAGAGGACAGTCTCGTGCGCTAGAGAGCGACACGAGCAGGGGGCAGACAGCTGACCTGACGCGGACGCAGACGCAGACGCAGCGACGTGAGGGGAATCTGTGGTCAGTGTGTACAGGTCCGACCTCGGCTGCCAAGTGAAGGTAGCCAAGTGGCGGCCCGTACGAGCACACGTGCAGTGTGTCACGCGCTCGTAGGCAGGGGTGAACTGGTGAACACCCCCGTCCTGGAGTGCACTACCTGCCACCAAGTTCGTAGAGAACGAGGGGAGGTGGAGACCTGACAGTGTGCCCGACGGGACCGCAGGATAGGGAAGGAAAGTGAAGGAGGTCGCAATGACCGGACCCCCAGAGGGGTCAGCGAGGGAGACAGCAACTGGCCGAGCAAGCGGCTCAAGGGCAGTGCAGTCACGAAAGAAGCAGCGAGAAGCACCTGAGTCCAGTGTGAAGGTGTGCAGTGCTGCCGTCGACTCAGTACCAAGGGGGGGCGGACGCACAAGCACCTAGAGTAGCTGCCTCACCAGCACCAGGGGTAGCAGACACGCGAGTACCTGGAGCGGCAGACGCACTAGTCCTAATGCCCGGGTCGGGCGGCACACACAGGTACTCAGCACCCTCTCCACTAGTAGACATCACATACATAGCAGTGAGAATAGCATCAAAGTCTAGAGCATAGATATCAATCCCCTTCTTCAGGAGATCAACCCAGCGGGGCAGCTCAGTGGCCTGAGGGAACTGAACACGCCAAGCGTCGTTGAGACGAGCGAAGCAGCGCTGTGTGGCGTGCGGTCCCCCACACGGCTGACCAGTGCGGTCACCAGTGCGAATGACGTACGTGCAGCTAAAGCCACCTCCCCCCCCCCCTGTGCTGAGAGTACCACTCACGGACCTCCTGGGGCGACGAAGTGTGCTGCTGGCCCTGGCCACGGCCAGCGCCTCCACGACCACCACCGCCGCCGCCACCTCCTCGACCACCCCAACCCCTGCCGCCGCCGCGTCCACCGCCACCCCCACCACCGCCTCCGCCCCTGCCACCTCCCCCGCCGCTGCCGCCACCACCCCCACCGCTGCCACTAGCCCCTCCAGTCGCGCCACCACCCCCACCGCCGCCACCGCCCCCACCACCGCCTCCCCCGCTGTCACCGCCACCGCCCTTGCCCCCTTTGCCCTTGCCGCTGCGGCGCCCGCTCGAAGCAGACGCAGTCCCGACCTTCTCAGCACCAAGGAGGTCGACAGCAGCAGCAGAGGCGACAGAGGGAAGAAGGGGGGAAGGAGAACACCCCTCAAAGAACGGGGTACGGGGGTCGCCACGAGAGGCACCTACAGCGACTATGCTAGCCTCAGCTGGAAGGAGTTCCTTCTCGAGGACGGCAATGGTGAGCTCAGTGGGGCAGCGAGCTAGGAAGTGGTCCCTGACTGAGTGCAGAGTGTCAGGGAGGCGGGTGACTAGGTGGTAGAGAGTGAGCCAGAGTGGGGGTGGGTTCTTGGCAAGGAACTCATCAGGCATGGCGGCGCAGAAGCGAGCCTCACTAGTGCGTAGGTGCGTAATGAGGTCAGCGACTGTGTAGAAAGAGGCTAAGTCGGGGAACAGGTAGGGAAGAGAGAGACGGCCTAGTGCGGCAGAGGCTGGTGAGGAGTAGCGGGCAACGACAGCAGTGTACAGTGCCTGTGCAGTCTTGTGCTGCCTCAAGTGCTCGCGCTCATCTATCGGCAGGGAGTTGCGAATAGCGAAGCGAGCGTGGGCGTCACGAGTCTGCCACTGTGAGCGGGCAGTGCTGTCAGCAGTAGCAGCAGGAGCAGGAGCATGGCCTAGGGCGTGATCGTACAGTGAGATGTCCTCCTTGGCAGTGAGCTGTAGGAAGAGGTGTAGGTCATCTAGCCAGGTTTCGAACTTCACTGGGCGGCCCTCAGCATCGAAAGCCAGCACAGGAGGGCTAGCCATAGCAGTAGTAGGAGTAATAGCAGTAGGGGCACCCCAAAAACAGTAGGCAGTGCGACTCAGGTAGGGCGGCTCGGTCCAGTACGGGCGGCGCGGCTTGGTTCAGGTATGGCGGCGCGGCTCGGGAAGGGCGGCGCGGCTAGGTTCGGGCGGCGCGGCTCGGTTTGGGCTGGGCTGCTCGGTTCGGGCGGCTCGGTTCGGGCGGCTCGGTTCGGGCTGGGCGGCTCGGTTCGGGCTGCTCGGGTCGGGCGGCTCGTTCTGGGGGGGCCGTTCGGGGCCTCTAGGGGCGAGCGCGGGGCCGTAAGGGGCCGCTAAGGGCGACCGCGGGGCCGATCCGGGCCTCTAGGGGCGAGCGCGGGGCCGTAAGGGGCCGCTAAGGGCGAGCGGGGGGCCATTCGGGGCCTCTAAGGGCGAGCGCGGGGCCGTAAGGGGCCGCCAAGGGCGAGCGCGGGGCCGTTCGGGGCCTCTAGGGGCGAGCGCGGGGCCGTAAGGGGCCGCTAAGGGCGAGCGCGGGGCCGACGGGGGCCTCTAGGGAGGTGAGCGCGGGGCCGACGGGGCCGACAGGGTCGCTAAGGGGCGAGCACGGGGCCGTAAGGGGCGAGCGCGTGGGCCGACGGGGCCTTAAGGGGCGGCGCGCGAGTCGCTAAGGGGCGGGTCGCGGGTCGCGGGGCCTTAGGGGGGCGTGAAAAACGAGGCGTCTTAGGGCGCAGTTAGGTAGGTAGGTAGGTAGGTAGTGGTGGGCCCTAAAAAAACGGTCCTAGCGAAGGACCTGCTCTATACCATGTTGAAATGAACGAACAGGAATGATTGAACTAACAGTGAAATCAGTATAAGTACCTAACCCTAGAATTGTGTACCCCCTATAGGCTAACCCACTGTAGCCTAAACAAGCACAACATATATAATGTTTGACAAAATACACCGACCTTCTCCGACGGGAACTCGTCTTGACAACTGGGCAACTAGTGCTACTTGATACGAAGAACCTGCACCTACCCGGTCCGTCGAAACTACGGCCACGATTTTGTGGACCGTTCAAGATTCTCAAGATGGTGACACCTGTCACCGCAAAGCTGTTGCTACCCGACGACTGGCGCATTCATGATGCCTTCCAAGTCAGCCTTCTTCGAAAGTTCGTGCCAGCAACGGCCGACATCGCACGTCAGCACGCTCCCCCGACAGCACGACCTGTCCCGGAGCCGACCCTTGCCCCTTCCAAAATCCTCGCTCATCGGGTCCGCCTTGACGCATCTGGTCCACACGTGGATTTCTTAATTCGCTGGACTGACCGCACCAGTGAGGACGACACGTGGGTGCCATCCGCCTCGCTCGACGCCTCGCCACTTGTTGGTGATTACCTGGCGCGAAGGCGTGTTTCGGATATTGACCGCCTTTCCTCTCTCCCGTCGCCTTCCTCTCTCCCGTTCGCCTTCCTCTCTCCCGTCGCCCTTCCTCTCTCCCGTCGCCCTTCCTCTCTCCCGTCGCCTTCCTCTCTCTTACCCCCTTTCCTCTCTCCCGTCGCCTTTCCGCTCTCCCGTCGCTTTCCTCTCTCTTATCGCCTTTCCTCTCTCCCGTCGCCTTCCTCTCTCCCGTTCGCCTTCCTCTCTCCCGTCGCCCTTCCTCTCTCCCGTCGCCCTTCCTCTCTCCGGTTCGCCTTCCTCTCTCCCGTCGCCTTCCTCTCTCTTACCCCCTTTCCTCTCTCCCGTCGCCTTTCCCCTCTCCCGTCGCCTTCCTCTGTCCCGTCGCCTTTCCTCTCTCCCGTCGCCTTTCCTCTCTCTCGTCGCCTTTCCTCTCTCCCGTCGCCTTTCCTCTCTCCCGTCGCGTTCCTCTCTCTTATCGCCTTTCCTCTCTCTCGTCGCCTTCCCTCTCTCGTTGCCCTTCATCTCTCCTAATGCCAGTCCTCACCCCCCTCGCCCTTCTTCTTCCGCCTCCCGCCGCCCTCGCGCTCCATCACAATAAACTTCCCAACGCACTCCACCCTCCGTGTCCGCCTCCCATTGCTCGTCGCCCCCCCATTCCCGTCGCCCTCGCTCTCGCCCCTCCCTTTCCGTGGCCCTCGTTCTCGCCCCTCCGTCGCCCTCGCTCTCTCCCCCTCCTTTCCGTCGCCCTCGCTCTCTCCCCTCCCTTTCCGTCGCCCTCGCTCTCTCCCCCCCCTTTCCGTCGCCCTCGCTCTCCCCTCCCTTTCCGTCGCCCTCGCTCTCTCCCCTCCCTTTCCGTCGCCCTCGCTCTCTCCCCTCCTTTTCCGTCGCCCTCGCTCTCTCCCCTCCCTTTCCGTCGCCCTCGCTCTCTCCCGTCCCTTTCCGTCGCCCTCGCTCTCTCCCCTCCTTTTTCGTCGCCCTCGCTCTCTCCCCTCCCTTTCCGTCGCCCTCGCTCTCTCCCGTCCCTTTCCGTCGCCCACACGTTCTCTTGTTGCCCTTGCTCTCTCCCCTCCCTTTCCGTCGCCCTAGCTCTCTCCCCTCCCTTTCCGTCGCGCTCACGTTCTCCTCTCCCTTTCCGACGCCCTCGCTCTCTCTCCTCCCTTTCCGTTGCCCTCGCTCCACCTCATTCCACCAACACCAATGACCCTCCCATCTCCCTACCATTCCGCGGATTTTGCTCATGCATCTCCCCTTTCGCGTCCTCGTTTTTGTTGCACTATCTCTCTCTTCGCTCGTCCCCTGATATTCTCTGTTTTCGCTTCTCTGTTTTTGCATGTTGTCATTGCCGCCCTAGCAGGGACATGCTCGGCCCGCAAAGTGTGCTTTGCGTGAGTTGGACATGATTTGCGTGAGTTGGACTTGATTGCTGTGCACTGTGAATTTGGCACTGGTTGAAAATTCCTCTCTCCCGTCGCAAACTTAGGAGCGACGCTTTTGCACATGCTTGCGACGATTTATGTTTGAGAAGAAATGTGGAGAGTCGTCCAGAATCATATGCGCTTGAAAAAAAGTACAGAACAAAACTTCAACTTTCAAATGGACCCAACTAGAAGGGGGGGGTCACTATTTTGCATGCGGGCTTTAAGGGGGGGGTGGTGTAAGGAATTTTCCCGAATTCCTTATCGGGGTTGACTGCTTCGCGTACAACCCGATTTTCGGAGTTCGCACGTTCGGCCGATTTCAACACTGCCGAGGCTCCTCGCGTCGCCTTCGGCATTTCCATCGCCAAACCTGCACCCAACCTCGCTCGTCCGAGGTTTCCTCCTAGCTAGGCTACTCCTACATTAGTCTGTGCATTCATTGTATTCTCAGTTCATTGAGTCACAGTCTCGTTATTCGTTTACCTGCGCACTCTCTTTTACAACTCATAACAACTCAATTGCACTCGTAACAACCACTAAACGAGGTCAATCGTTTTCGTCACCATCGAACCTGTTTGGTGTTCAAGTATATCTCGACGAGGTAAATAATGGTTCGGAGCGGTGAATCACACCAACCGTTCTGAAGTCCATGAAATAATTATTGGTATTACTCTCCTGCAGCATCTGTGATGCTCTCAAGACCAGACCATTTCACAATACTCTTCTATTCTCATAGCCATGGCTGTTCCCTGATGCGCTTATTAACTCTCCATGCTGGTGACCGTTACAAGTGATTATATTCGCGTTGCTGCTCTCCTCGGCAGACGAATTTGAGTTTCAAGTAATAGTTTTTGCAGAAGATATAGGCTTTAAACGCGTATATCTGACGGAATGGGCCGACGTGGCTCAAGGTCGCCAGTAAGGAAGCGCAGCCGTCGATCCCCCTCTCCGACCCGATCAAAATCGCGGTCTCGCTCCCGGTCTCCTCCTCCTCGTTCCTCATTGGCTCGCAAGGATCGAAGGGACGATCGGAGAGAGGGTCGGAAGGAGGGTCGGAGGGAGGATCGGAAGGAAGATCGACGAGAGGACAGGAAGGACGATCGACGGAACCGTCGGAGCCGAAGCAGATCGCCTTACGGCAGGTCGGGACTCTGACATGCCTCCCCGTTGCTGAGCTTCGGCATGCTAATAATGCTTGTCGGAAAATGCTGTTATCGAGCGATTTCTCTTCGTGCGGCCTCGTTTCCTTTCACACATCCCCTCGGACTCGTTATACGCTGCTTCGTTATGCGCCATCAACTCCCTCAGGGACCTTGAATGGCTCGCCAGCTGGTTCGGGATTCAACGCAACAAGACATGTCTCCTTCTTCAGTCCTTGAGAGGCGCCCGTGTTCCCGTCTCCTCGTGTCGCTGTTTACCCTCTTCTTGAACCAAGATGAAACCAGCGTGATACTCGTTATAACGGTCCTCCCTATTCGCTAGGTTTCCGGAGGGTGACGTGTCTCACCCTATTCCCCTGCAGCTCGCCTTTTGAGTCGACTCAAAAGTCGCGACGTGGCCGCTATTCGGACGGTGCGATGCGGTGCAGTGAGGTGCAGTGTCTGATCCCTCCCCCCTGCAGCTCGCCTGTAAGAGACGTGATTACAGGCACCATGATAGTAACGCAACGTCTTGTAACGCAGCGTGCCCGTAAGAGCCACAGACTCCGTTTTTCCACTGGTGGCCGTTTTTCCTCTGCCATACACACCCCGACGGTACTTCCCCTGTCCCTCTTGTTCTCGGCCGTTTGTCCCCTCCTAATCCCCAATCCTTCCCTCTCCTCCCTTCCTCCCTTCTCCCCGCTTCCTCCGCCTCCCCATCCTCCATCGCCTTAAACTGGACCGCTTTTAGTTAAGTGCCATCCTACTATGAGCCCCCCGTTTTCACCGTATCCGCTCTAACATATTCCACCCTATCCATCCCCACCCTTCCGCTCCTCCCCTCCCTCTCGCCTGTGCGTTCGCCGCTCCACACCCATCCTTCTGCCCTCCTGGTGCTTTTGGCACCTCCGCCTGGTCTCCACCCTGGGTGCGTTCGGCACACCTTGGGAACTTCCTCGTCGCTGATTGGTCAGAGGGCGCCGGAGCAGGTCCCCCTCCCCTCGCCGCCGCGACAAGGCGCGGGACAGCGGGCGAAGAGGGGGCGATGAGCGGAAGCAGGAAGGCGCGCGAAAGGGGGAGAGTGCGCGTAAGGGGGAAGGCGCGCGCGGAAGCAGCCGTCGGGACCTAAGCCGCAGCCGCTCGCGCTCCCCTGCCCCGCGGAGGCGTTCGCGCTCCCCCTCCCCACGCTCTCGCGCGCGGAGAGAAAACGCGCGGAAGGACGATGTGCGGAAGCGGAATAGCCTGCCTGGTGAAGGGGATAAGGGCGGGAAAGGCGCGGAGAAGGGCAAAGGAGGCGAGGAGGAGAAGGGCAGGGGGGAGGACGAGCGGAAGAAAGCTGACTGCGTGGGGAAGGATGTCGAAGGAGGGGTGGGGAAGGGAGGGGAGGGGGAGGTGGAGGGGGATGAGAAAGTGAAGGAGAGGGAGATGGAGGCTCGGAGGGCCAAGGAGGACGCGGAGAGGGCTGAAAGGAAAAGGTGAGTAACATTGGTCAACGCTTGTCAACGCTAGTCAACGTTATAACTGGGTGTATAAACAGTTGAGACCCCTCATTCTGGAAAAGCGACTGGGAGGTGTTTCATTCACGTATCTCCCACCCACCCATCCTTCCTGTATGTGTCCGTGCAGGTTACGAGAAGAAGCAATGGAGAAGCTTATAGCAGAGGAGACTACAAGGAGGCTTGAGGAGGCGATTCGGGAGCGTGTGGAGCGAGAACTTACCTCAGAGGAGATCAAGAGGGAAATGGCGGCTTTAATTGAAGAAGGCCGGAGGAAGCTTCCTGGGGAGGTGTCGAGAGTTTTAGAGGAGGAGAAGGAGGCTGCTGAGGAGGAGAAGAGGAGGAAAGAGGTGAGTGGGGGGAGCGTTGGGATTGGGGAAGAGGTGAGGAGGAAGAGGAACAGTAGTCTTTCTTTTGAGCTGACCAAGAGTCAGCTTTAGAGGAGGAGGCCGCTGAGGAGGAGAAGAGGAGGAAAGAGGTGAGTGAGGGAAGAGGGAACGGGGGAAAAGGTGAGTGGGGAAGAGGGGAAGTGAGCTGACTTTTGAGTTCACTCAGTCAGCTTCAGAGGAGGAGGGAGGAAAAGAGGAGGAAAGAGGTGAGTGGGGAAGAGGGGAAGGGGGGAAGAGCAGAAGAGGGGAAGAGCAGAAGAGGGGAAGAGCATTTGTTTGAGTCTGATCTTTTAATGCTGTGAGAAGGGTGTTGAAGGGGTCGCAAGGATGGGGAAGGACTGGTACTCTCTTTCAGAAAAGGTAAGGGTGGTGGTGGGGTGCAGCAAGGATTGTTGCAAGCCTTTGCTAAAAAAATCGCTTTTGAGACTTCTCAAAAGCGATTTCAAATTAGGCCAGAAAGTATGCTTGGAGGAGCCTCTGGGTTAGAAGGAAAAGGGCCAGAAGTCAGATTACAAAAATCGTTATCTTAAAGCCTAAACCCTTACTTCATCTTGGCCACTCTTTACGTTCCCACGTTCGTTCCCTTGCCCCGTCCATTTCCTCTATCCCTTGCAGGAGGAGAAGCGGAAGGAGGAAGAGCAGCAGCAGGAGCTGTTGCAGCAGAAGCAGAGAGAAGCAGAGGAGGCGGAGCGGCAAAGGTTAGAGGAGCAAGCGAGGGAGCAGGAGAGGCGGTATCGGGAACTGGAGGAGAAGCAGAGGCAGAGGGATGAAGCCAAGAGGAAGAAGAAGGAAGAGGAGGAGAAGACAAAGAAGGAGCAGATGAAGATTTTGGGGAAGAAAAACGCCCGGCCGAAGCTAGCGTTTAGCCTCGGTGGTGGGAAATGACTAGGATTGGATAGTCTTCTCTGGTTTGGCCTGGCCTGGCCTGGCCTGGGCTGGTCTGGTCTAGAACTGTGTTGGTGTTTATGGATGTACTGTTTAGAGTAGTAGTACCAGTATGTGATGGCTAATAAGTGATGGAGTGTAGAAGTGGGCTGTGTTCCATTCTGGGTGCTTCAGTCTGTATCTGTACCGTACTCTCCAGCTAAGGTCCATCCCCCCTGTTGCCAGAGCCTGCACCTCTTGGGATAGGATTGAGGCACCTAAAAAGGGCTGCAGCTGTTACGGTATCTATGTGCCAAAGCTGGCTATGTTCTTCCCTCTTCCCCCTTCCCTCTTCCCCTGCTTACCCTGTTGTCCCCTCACTCCTGTTTCTGCTCCTCCCTAGACCAGAGCCCAAGAGCCAGACCCGAGTTCAAACAAGAATATGGTACACCAGAGTTGGGTTGATTGAAACTTGGGGAGTATCTTGGAAATCCAAACACAGGTGGTGGTGGGTACAAGCGGCCCTTTCTTTCCTCTCCCTGCATGTGTTCCTTATTCCAATCATGGCATGGCATGGCAAAAATGCCCACTAGCAGCAACAGACAGCAGACACGTACATCAGGTAAGTGCCAGAATAAGGTAGGTACGTGGCTTGGGTAGGTACCAGTGGTAAGTACCTTAGGTAGATGACTGGTGGCGGATCAACAGGGCAGTCTTCAGATGAAGTGGCACGGGACAAGCATACGGTACATTATATTTGCGGGAAGGTGTAAACATGGTTTTGATGATGAGTATTAGCTATCAACTCTGGTAATTGGCTTGGACGATCAGGCCTTGACGATCAAGCTTTGGCAATGAGCTTTGGAATGAGCTTCGGCAATCGGTATGGATGAGGGAGCCTAGCCTCGTAACGAGATGACGATGACGCTGGTGTTGTCCTCTGTCCCACGATCCTGAGAGGGAGGGGCGCAGCAGAGAGCACGGAGGAGAGAACACAGATGAACAGTTGAATGAAGGGGATACACAGGGGGGTTTGATCAGGGTGGCTAGCCTCGCAACGAGATGACGATGACGCTGGTGTTGTCCTCTGTCCCACGATCCTGAGAGGGAGGGGCGCAGCAGAGAGACGCACACAGATGAGGACACGAAGGGACACACGGCACGGATAGAAGCATGATTGGGGCGAGGAGATGACGATGATTCTGGTGTTGTCCTGTCCTCTGTCTCGCGATCCTGTGGGGCAGAGCAGAAGCACAGAGGGTGCAGCAGAGAGCAGGGAGCACAGAAGAACCTATAAAGAGATATACGGAGTGTCGCAAGGAGATGATGATGATGATGCTACTCTGTGTAGATGGTTGCTGATCATGCTACTCTAACGAGTCAGCAAGGACTACAGTAAATTCCGCTGTAGTGTGCTGTTTTACAGTGTAGTGTACTGTATTATAATACACTCACATGCAGAGCTGTATGCACGAGCGCATCGCATGCCTGCTGCACATCCCCATGCCTCCAAGCCAGCCCTTACCTTCAACTATTGGTGTATCTGCATGTATTATACTGAATGTCATAAGACACTCATTTCTAGGAATGTCTTTAGACTCTCGCGTGCATAGCAGTGTGCAGAATGGCCTCACATTCCTGCTTATGTCCCCGTGCCTCCAAGCTAGCATCTATTGGTGTATCTTCATGTAGTATACTGTATGTCTTTAGACACTCATTTCTAGGAATGTCTTTAGACACTTACGTGCAGAGCAGAGCAGTGTGCACAATGGCCTTGCATTCCTGCTTACGTCCCCGTGCTGCAACGACAGTGCATTATACTGAAACTAGTGTGCTTCCTATCCCAGGTGATAAAGTTAGTGTTTCGAATCGAAACGTCTCAAAACACTACCTTTATCACAACGACAGTGCATTATACTGTCTTGTAGCGTGCTTCCCAGCTTACAAAAGCATCTTGTACCATGCCCTCATGCACTCACATGCAGAGCCGCGTGCACGAGAGCCTCGCAAGCCTGCTGGCTGCTGTGCCTGCAGGTCTTTTAACGTCCCCATGTCTCCAAGCCAGCGGCAATGCGTAGTGTACTAAAGTGTCATATAGTGTATCTTGATGTACTATACTGTATCCTTGTTCACTCACATGCAGAGCCGTGTGCACGAGCGCCTCGCATGCCTGCTGCACGTTGCCATGCCTGCAAGGCAGTACTAGTGTATGAAAGTATAGCGTAGCATAGCATAGCAGCCTGTAGTGTAGTGTACCGTTGTGTATCATACAGCACTCACATGCAGAGCCGCGTGCGCCTCGCAAGCCTGCTGCACGTCCCCATGTTGTAGAGTCCAGCACGGTGGAAATCAGTGTGCTTATAAGAGCATATTATACCACAATCTCATACACTCACATGTAGCGCAGCGTGTACGAGCGCCTCGCAAGCCTGCTGCGCGTCCCCAAGCCTCCAAGCCAATACTATTGTATGGCAGTGTAGCATAGCACAATAGTCTCTAGTGTAGTGTATTATAGTGTATCATATGACACTCACATGCAGCGCAGCGTGCACGAGCGCCTTGCAAGCCTGCTGCACGTCCCCATGTTGTAGAGTCCAGCACGGTGGAAATCAGTGTGCTTATAAGAGCATATTATACCACAATCTCATACACTCACATGCAGCGCAGCGTGCACGAGCGCCTCGCATGCCTGCTGCACGTCCCCATGTTGTAGAGTCCAGCACGGTGGAAATGAGTGTGCTTATAAGAGCATATTATACCACAATCTCATACACTCACATGCAGCGCAGCGTGCACGAGCGCCTCGCATGCCTGCTGCACGTCCCCATGCTTCTCCATCTCGCTCCGCACAAATGACACAGCCTCAGAACTACAAGATTAACAGGGTGTGGTGGGAGGGAGGGAGGGAGGGAGGGAAGCAGTGTGTGTGGGAAACGGATGTTTGTTCCAAAAGTCCCCATGCTTCTCCATCTCGCTCCGCACAAACGACACTGCCTCAAAGCTGCCAACAGGATGTGTGGGGAAGGCAGGTAGGGAGGGCGGGAGGAGCGAGAGAGGGGAGTGGGAGGGAAGGAAGGGGGTGTGTGTGTAGTTGTCACGTATTCCAGAAGTCTCCATGCCTCTCCATCTCGCTCCGCACATACGACACTGCCTCAAGAGCTGTAAGATTAACAGGTTGTGGTGGGACTGAGAAAGGGAGGGAGGGAAGGAGTGCGTCTCCATCTCGCTCCGCACAAACAACACTGTTGAGGCGCCTCAAAAGTCCTCTCCATCTCGCTCCGCACAAACGACACTGCCTCAAAGAGCTGTAACAGGGTGTGGTGGGGGAGCGGGAGGGAAGGGGGAGGGGGGAGGTGGGGAAGCGGGTGTGGGGGTGGGAAGGGTGGAAATGGGTGTGTGGGGGGGGGGAAGGGTGGAAATGGGTGTGGGGGTGGGAAGGGTGGAAATGGGTGTGTGGGGGGGGGGAAGGGTGGAAATGGGTGTGGGGGTGGGAAGGGTGGAAATGGGTGTGTGGGGGGGGGGAAGGGTGGAAATGGGTGTGGGGGGGAAGGACGTGTAGCAATATGAGGGGAGAGCGGGCTAGGCATTAGCAGGAGAGGGAGAGCTTTCTACCTGGAAAACGCATCCCATAGGCCATCAGATGCAATGATGACGAATTCGGCATCTTCTGTCAGCTCAGTGCCGTACACGTCAGGGAGCGCTGAGATCCAATCAGAATCGTACTTTCTCCTGAAAACCAGGAAGGGATGGCAGAAGCAGGCATGGGGAAAGCATGCGGATAGGGCCGAGAAGGGGTGGGGAGGAGGAAGATAGGAAGGATGAGAAGAAAGGTACGAGAAACATATCTGGATATGTTGATGTTACTTTTGAGAAATGTGTTACTGTTGAAGTAACACCAACATGGCTGAGAAGGGGTGAGCAGGGGTAAGATAGCAGGGATGAGAAGCACGGTACGAGAAACCTATCTGGGTATCAACTTGACCTTCTTCAGGGTGTTTTTAAGAATTCTCAAACCTATCTTGAAAAACACCCTGCAGCAACGAGAAACCTATCTGGATATCAACTTGACCTTCTTCACTGGTTAATGGAGGGACAGCAGCAGCCACCAAACTCGGTTCTCCTGACCAACTACTAGAAACAGCAGCAAGCAGCGAGCAGCAAGAAGCGAGCAGAGAGCAGCAAGCAGAGAGCAGCAGGCGGAGAGCATACTTGGAGACCCATCTGGTGGTCCACCTCCCCTAATTCACTGAAACGAGAATGGCTTTAGAGCAGAGCAGCAAGCAAACGCAATCAGCAAGCATCAAGCAGCAAGCAGCAAGAGGCAAGGAGCAAGGAGCAAGGAGCAAGGAGCAAACAGCAAGGAGCGAGCCTACTTGGAGACCCATCTGGTGGTCCACCTCCCCTTCTTCACTCCTTGTTGCATCATTCTGCACACAGAGGAGCACAGTGCGGTACAGTGCGGTTCAGCATGGTATAAGAGTGGTTCAGTGGGAAGAGTAGGGCATTAATGTGCATACAAGTACTTTACTTGTCGTTACCCTTCGATTTGTCCTAGTTTTGTTTCATTTGTTTGTTCGTTTGTTTGTTTTGTGTGCAGTGATTGATCTAGGTAGGTGTATTGGTAAAGCTGGTTACTTCAATCATTCAGAAGCACGACTCACTCAGTCAGTGACTCACTCTGTCAGTGACTCACTCAGTCAGTGACTCACTCAGTCAGTGACTCACTCAGTCAGTGACTCACTCAGTCAGTGACTCACTCAGTCAGTGACTCACTCTGTCAGTGACTCACTCAGTCAGTGACTCACTCAGTCAGTGACTCACTCAGTCAGTGACTCACTCAGTCAGTGACTCACTCAGTCAGTGACTCACTCAGTCAGTGACTCACTCAGTCAGTGACTCACTCAGTCAGTGACTCACTCAGTCAGTGACTCACTCAGTCAGTGACTCACTCAGTCAGTGACTCACTCAGTCAGTGACTCACTCAGTCAGTGACTCACTCCTCTTTTCTCGTCTTGAAAGCCACGTTGCCAAACGCTCGGGACACGGCAATCACGCCACACACCCGCCCTTGGCTCACCTGCGAATGGGTGAGGAAAAGGGTGGGCATGTGGATAGGGGGAAAGGTAAGGTGAAATGGGGGAGAGATAGGATGGATAGGGAGAGAGACAGGGTCATTGGGAGGAAGATTGGGTGGATTGGGGGAGAGATTGGGTGGATTGGGGGAGAGATAGGGTGGATTGGGGGAGAGATAGGGTGGATTGGGGGAGAGATAGGGTGGATTGGGGGAGAGATGGGGTGGATTGGGGGAGAGATGGGGTGGATTGGGGGAGAGATAGGGTGGATTGGGGGAGAGATAGGGTGGATTGGGGGAGAGATAGGATAACGTCTCAACACTCACGCACAAGTCGACTCAGCACCCACTCACCCATCCGCCTGCCTTGTTGATCCGCTTGATCTCCGCAGCTTGATCTCGCGCCTTGCCCGAGTCGCTGCTTGGTAGGTGTATTTTTAGCCGACTCAACACCCACTCACCCATCCGCCCGCATTGTTGAACTTCTCTTCTTAATCTCCTCCTGCGCCTTTCCCAATTGCTTAATCAGACTTATCTCCAACTAATTGACTCAATCACCCATCCGCCTGCCCTGTTGATCCTCTTCATCTCTCCTGCCCGCACCTTCCCCGAGTTGGTGACTTTCCACACACACACACACACACACACACAAAAAACTACTCACCCATCCGCCCGCCTTGTTGATCCGCTTAATCTCCGCCTGTGCCTTGCCCGAGTCGCCGCTGGGCTTATGGTCGTCCGAGATGTATCCCTCGTCGCCCCCCCCAACGGCCATCACGGCGCGCGAGTCGCCTATGTGCGCCACGAACAGCCGGTCGTGCCGCACAAACGCCACTGTACCTGTCGACCCCGACTCGGGCTCAGAACTGTGCTCTTCGAGCCTGTGTGCGGGGGGGGGGGAGGGGCGGGGGGGAAGGGGGGAACATGCGCGGTGAGATTTGAGCCTACTGGCGCACAAACGCCACTGTACCTGTCACCCCTGACTCGGGCTCAGCACTGTGCTCTTCCAGCCTGTGCGCGCGAGGGGGGACGGGGGAAGGGGGCCATGCGCGGTGACGTCTGAGCCTACTGGCGCACGAATGGCACTGTACCCGTCGACCGACCCCGACTCGGCTCAGCACTGTGCTCTTCGAGCCTGAGTAATACTCACCACTGCAGCAGCCGTTGATCAGCCTTGAGAAAAGCATCTTCGAGCTCCGCCACCGTCAGATCCTCGTCCTCCAACACCGCGCCGCCAACACTCCACTAGCTCACCAAAGTACACCCACCAAACGCACCAACCAAGAGCACCCACAAATCACACCCAACCCATTACGCGCTCTCATCACTGCAGCAGCCGTTGGTCGGCCTTGAGAAACGCGTCCTCCGCAGCCGTCAGGTTCTCGTCCTCCAACACCGCGCCGCACTCCAGCGCCAGCACACAACAAGCACACCATACAAACTCACCCAACCAAACACACCTACCAAGCACACCCACACCACCAAGCCCTCTTACCGCTGCAGCAGCCGTTGATCAGCTTTGAGAAACGCATCTTCGAGCGCGTCTTCCGCGGCCGTCAGATCCTCATCCTCCAACACCGCACCGCCCTCCAACGCCTCCATAACCTCACCATACACCCAGTCAACCCCCGCCAAGCAAACCCAGTTGACTTTTGAGTCGACTCAGAAGTTGACTCAAAAGTCCCTCCAACGCCTCCATAACCTCACCATACACTCAGTCAACCCCCGCCAAGCACACCCACTCACCACTGCAGCAGCCGTTGGTCGGCTTTAAGGAAAGCATCTTCGAGCGCGTCTTCCGCGGCCGTCAGGTCCTCGTCCTCCAACACCGCGCCGCCCTCCAGCGCCTCCATGCAGTCGTCGTGCAGCTCGTCGCTCAGAAACTTCGCGGAAGACGCGCCTGCACGCGCGACAAACACGCGCTCCGAAGTCAACTCACACGCTCAAATCTCAAGTATCGGAAGCTTCCCAGAAAAGCAGAAATGAAAGGTTTGGAAACTGCACGCTCAGTATCCGTCCAACAGGCTCGTGGCCGTCAAATACGCACCTGCGTGGCCGTCAAATACGCCGGCGTAGAGGAACCCAGCGCCATTGTCTTCCAGAACCACCACGTGGTCCTCCATCTCGTCGACTCAGAAGATACCTGGATGGCCGTCAACACGCACCGGGTGACCATCAAATGCGCACCGGGTGGCCGTCAAACACGTACCTGCGTGGCCGTCAAACACGCCGGCGTAGAGGAACCCAGCGCCTATGTCTTCCAGCACCACCACGTGGTCCTCCATCTCGTCGCGCCGCCCCTGCGCCGCGTGGTACCCAACCTTCAGGCGGCGCCGCGGCGTCGCTTCCGTTCCTGACGCCGGGACCGACGGCGCGTCCTCCGCTGTGGGTGCTGCGGCAGCAGCCGTGACGGGAGTCGCTGCAGCAGAAGGAGGTGCGACTCGTCGAGGGCCCTTAGCTGAAGCGCATGATGCGGAGAGATTCAAGTTCAGGTTGAAGAAACTCGACTCGTCGCGGACGAGGGAGGAGGCTGATGATTTGAGCGGTACAACTGGAGCGGGAGTGAGCCTGAGGGAGGAGATAAGCGAGCGAACCGCCGCCATGGTTGCCGTGGTTCTTTCGAAGTTGCGGAATTGCAATTGTAGGATTGGTGAACAAGTGGATGCCCAGCCCAACAATCACTGAATTTAGCAATGCTACGCAAAACGATGTGTCCTACTATGCATGAAGCAGAAAGGAATGAGCTCGGTACGTCTTCTCCAGCGGAGGACCTATGCTTCGTATAGTACGACGACAAACCTTCTTTAGCCAAACTCCGAGACGTATATACGAACGGACAACCTATGAACGACCTTCAGGTACGTACGTCCTCTTCTTCTCCGCGTTCGTAATTTATGGAGGTCCCACCTCAGACTTACTTGCTTCCACTGACCAATCACAGTATTTCTGACAGAATCAGTCTGCCGTGAATGCGTTTCCTACCTCTTATTCTGAATGCGGCCTTTTGATTGAAATCGCTTGTCCCAAACAACCAATCTCGGAGGAGGCGCGGTGCCACGTCACAATGCCTCGGCATGCTCGATGGTGGTCCACGAGGTTGACATCCACCCTACGATTGGGTCAACCACGTGGAACGTGTGGCGAGCAACGTCGATTCGCTCAACATGCCTGGCGAAAAGGAATGGAATCGGCTCGGGAGGAATCGATCAAGGTTTTCACAAAGCGCGCTGCAGTTTGTGGAGCCAGCGTGGCAAGCTTTTCATTTGTCGGTCTTCTTCACCAATCGACTGCCTTACGAAAGGGCTCGCGTGCTGTCATCATGGCTAATTATCACGACCACACCCACCTCCCTGTTTGAGCAACTGCGCTGCGCTGCGCTATGAAATCGGAACCAAAAAAGGATAGAAAGCACAAAGATACATACATGCAACCTTATTGCACTATTCTCCACCTTCCTGTTCCATCCCCCTCTAGCACAAGCTCAGCATGGTGCCACCTCCGCAGAGATTCTCTTCTATGGCTAACACTAACAATAGCAACCCCCGCAATAGCAAGCCAGGCATACATACGCGCCTCCATCTCGCCATCCACAGCACTCGTAGCCTCATCCAGGAAAACCAACCTCGGGCGATGAAACACCACTCTTGCAAACTGAAGCCGCTGCTGCTCCCCGGGAGAAAGTCCCGCGATCCAACTTTTCGCCTTCCCCGACCGTTCTGGAGACGGCCTGATGTTGGGACAGCCTTGCTGCTGACAGTGCCTCTCATTGCCAAAACGATCCTCAGATTTCACCAGTCCATCTGGACAGATGGTCTCCAGACATGGTAACAGGTGCGTCAAGCCCACCACAGCAAGAGCAGCCTCTATCCTTGTCCTTACGCCGCCATCCCTCCTCCTGCCTCTACACACACCCTCGGGAATACCCCCAAGTTCCATAGGGTACATGACTTGAGCAGCAAGGCAGGGGGAGGGAGCAAGAAGGGGCTTCTGGGGAAGGAACATGACATTGGGGGAAGCAGCAGGGGGGTATAACGTCACGGGGGGAAGGAGGGCTGCAGCAGATGAAATTACGCTGCTACGGCTGCTGCTGCTGACGTGGCGGCTGCTGGTTGGCCAGAGTCCAGCGATGGTGCGCAGGAGGCTGGTTTTGCCACACCCGCTGGGACCGGTGACCAGTAGGGCCTTGCCACGTGGCAGATGGAGAGAGAGGTTCGCGACAATGAGGTGGTTTGTTTGGGGGAGAGTGAGAGTGAGACGGGAGAGGGAGAGTGCAGGAGGGAAGGAGGAGGGGGAACAGGTGTGACATGGTGGGTGCACCTCAAGTTCAGGTCCACGTTCAGGCTTAAAAGCAGGCAGACGTTCAGGTTCAGGTGCCACCAATGCTTCCTCACACCCTCCCTCCGCTCCCTTCCCCGCTGCTGTCACACCTCCCATCTTCCCATCCCCCGTCCCCTGTCCCACCACCACGACCCCTTCCTCCTCCTGCCAGCCTGGCAGGCGCCAACCAGAGCCTGCCACGTGGCGGATGGCAGATTGCAGGAGAGGGAGAGGGGCGGTGGTGAGGAGGGAGGCTGGGTAGGTGTGCGTGCCAAATGAAGGGTGGAGAACTAGGGGGCATGACGGCATTGGTGGTGGTCCTGGTACTGCTGGTGTTGCTGGTTCTGCTGCTCCTGCTGCTGCTGCTGCTGCCGCCGCAGCATTAGGAGGCACTGTGGAGCCCATTGAAGCTGCTGCTGCTTCACTGGCCGTGGCAGTGGGAGCAACAGGATAATCGAGGAGGATCTGGGCAACGTCCACCTCGTTGTACTTGATGGGGGAGGGGAACGGCCACGTGCAGCCAGCACCGATACCAGTACTGACAAACTCAGCGCCACCACTGCTGCCAGCAGCACCAAATTCGGCACTACCACTGCTGCCACCACCACCGGCACTACGACCAGCGCTGCTGCCACTGCTGCCAGAAGCAGAGTGCATGAGGTAGCCAGTGAGGGGGTCAACAGCGTCAGCCCAGTGACCGGCCGCCCAGATGTGCTCACAGAGCTGCTGCTGGAAGAGGCGGAAGTTGAAGAGCAGCCGGTTCATTGCCCTGCTGACGTCTGCCTGCGTTGCTGTGGCGGAGTCTGCTGGACTCATGCCTGCATGTGCTGAGGCGCCATCTGCATTTGCAACTTCTGATACAGCAGCAGCCGCAGCAGCAGAAGCACCAGCAGCAGAGGAGGATGAATTGTTGTGGATAGGCCAGAGTGGCACATCGCTGCACTGAAATGTCACCACTATCTTCACATCCTCTACTCTCACCTCCCCCCTCTTCACACCTTCCAACCCCCCATACTCTACTCTCACCTCCTCCGTTCTCACATCTTCCATCCTCACCTTCTCAATTTCCGCTCCTTCCATCCCCACATCCTCTACTATCACATCCTCCACACTCATGCTCCATGCCTCGCCCACACGTGCAGCTGCCCACCTCTTCTCCGTCTTCCCCCATCCGTCTCCGGATTGTGGCAGCAGGGTCCCTACCAGGGAGCGTAGCTCGGGCGGGACAGAGTGAATGGAGTACTGCAGGATCGGGTGCATACAAGGGGAGGCATGCAGCTGCTGTCCCACTGCGGCTTCCCTGATAGGATGTGACGTCTGAGTCGACTGGAGAGGCACCTGGGCTACAAGGGAGCGTAGATCGGGCGGGACAGAGTGAATGGAGTACTGCAGGATCCTGTCAGCTTCGCCGGCTGCTTCCTCGTCAGCTCTCGTGCCGTTGCTTCCTGGTCTCGGCACCATCAGCCAAGTCGGCTCCTGCAGCATAAAGTCCCTTGGCTCCACAAATTCGCCACCACACGGTGTGATCCGCGTGTCCTCACAACGGCCCTCACGCACCGATTCGCCAGCCCCTCTCCACGTGCTTACACCCGCTGCTCCTCCACTCTCCCCTTCCCATGTGCCGTACCCAGCCATCTTCCCACCAGCCTGCATCGCTTGCACAACACCCCCCGCTTGCCTATAAAACCTGTTCACATCAGAGCTGCTGCTGCCTCCTCTGTCCCCCCTTTCCACTCTGACATCCAGCAGCCCGGTTACTTCACTCACGTCGGCGTTACCACATTTCCTTGTGTAACCAGCACTCTTTTGCCCAGTTAATCTCTCCCATAAACCTCTTCTTTTCGACAGTGGCTGTGATGCTAGTGCCGCTGGTGGTGGTGATGCTGCTGCTGCCGCTGTTGCTGGTGCGGGTGCTGGTGGGGGTGGGGGTGGAAACGGCCCATCCATTCCACGTGCCACTACTGAATGTGACTGTAACGGATCGGAAGGCAACAACTGCAGCGACTCAAACAGCTCACCAACCCTCGCAGTGTACCCAGCAGAATCCGATATAATCTTAGCAGCATCAATGATCTGAGATCCTCCGAATATCAGCTGCAAGATCGCAAACGAAGCGTTACTGATCCACTGCGCAACAGCCCCCTTATCCTTACTATCTCCCCCTCCTCCGGCCATACCTGCTCCTACTATTCCGAACACAGGTGCAGCGAGGGCTAGATAATTAACAGCCACGCCAGCATAATCGAACACCTTAGTGGTTATTCCGAGCTTTAAGTACCGCCAGACCAGCGTCTCCTGATTGGCTAGGACGGCTGCCAGCTCAGTGCTGAGCTGGCGCGCCTCGGCGTCCTCCCCGCGCGAGAAAAGGATGTCCTCGGATCGCTCCTTTACTCTGACATGCGCCATACGGAACTCCGCTTCCCGCCTTTCCTGCTCGGCTACTAGCGCCGCGACTGGAGACATGACGCGGCGCGTTATGACCGCTCCGATTGTGAAGAATAGGAGAATGATTAGGAGGCCCGTGGGACCGATTAGAGACACGACCCAGCAGCTGTAGTACAACACGGTAAGCGGCGCCGTTACTGTTCTACTTAGAAGCAGCGAGACCTGCTCCGCGAATCGGTGAATGTCCTCCGTGATCCGTTGATCGGGGTTGTCTATAACGGGTACAGAAAGGGCTTTTGCTTGTGTATCGGCATTATGAACAGCAGAGGTGCCGCATTTCTCGAAAGATGCGAAGTACAGCCAGCTGCTTCGCCTGTACGCCACGTGGCACGCGGACGTCAGCGTCTTCCGCCATTTCAGGCAAAGGAACTGCGAGGACCAATCGGTGAGCGCCGTGGAAACAGCGGCCAGGGTCAGCCAAATCGCGGAATTCCCGAGGGTCTTGAGGAAAGCATCGGGGTTGGCATTAACGAGTGCGAAATAGAACGTTCCTGTAACGGTTCCCATTTTCGCGACAATGGGAATGTTCGCGAGCGCGAGGAGTAACAGGATAACGGCGTATTTCACACCAGCGAGCCGCAGAAGGGCCAGCAAGCGTCGCAAGAAACGGAGATCAACTTGTGCGGACGACGTGCGATCGCAGACGTTGATTGATAACGGCTGATCGTCGGTGCCGATGGTCTGCGACTCCTCGGTGAAGAAACAGCATCGCGAAGATTGTGATCCTGACCCATCGAACGGTCCAGATTGATTCAAGAAATTGCTAAACCCAGCCATGTCTCCAGACGAGCAGATGGCAACGCGGAAAAGGCGCTACAGATGGTCATACGTCATTCATTTAAGGCGCTGTTGCGGCAACTGCGGACCTCGAAATCCAGACATGGTTATCAGAACGATTTGTTCTTCACAGGCTCATGGTAATCAGATACCCTTCTTGGTCAACGGATCCTCGGATCAACGGCTCATGGTTCTCGACGATCGGCACAAGCTGCCGCTGCTTGCAGCCCTCAACAACCAAATAGCACACGTCGCATCTACCTCATTCTGCTGGTTCGCCGCTTGAGGTGGCTAACCCAAGTGTCACTTATGGTGGAGGAAACAAAGTACTGTATCGGCTAATTTTCCAAGACTCATATTGACCTTCTAGACTGCTTGCTTCCTCAATTCTTTTCTCCCTTCTATGCTTGCATAGGAGGTATCACAGGAGCCTTGATAACTGGTTGTCGGCCAAATCAAGAGCCATACTGTACCCACGTTAAGATATTCTAAGACCCGCAGAACCGACTCGAACCCCGTACATAAACCATCGAAAGGACGATTGATGCTCCAAAACCTGTCCACGAAATTTGTCCTCTGCTTTTCGGCCTAAAATGGTCCGCTGGAGCCGTTGGAGGAGCTCAGAACCAATCGCTATCGAAGCTGCTCCGTGATCCTGGGCGCTGTTGACGTGGGAAAACACCGTGGTCTGATCGGTTTGATTCACATATCTACAGAAGTTCGTGTACTAGTGCAACTACGGGTGATGCGAAGCCATGGTGTATATCCCACCATTTCTCAAAGAGAGCCAACCCACTCTAGTGCGGTAGATGTGCAAACTGATTCCCTCTCTAGAGACCTCAAAATATTCAGACTGAACATACCATAAACACATCATCAAGACCTCTCCCATCCATCCTTCACTTCCTTCTCCTTCCCCTTCCCCCTCCTCCCCCTCCCTTGTCTCTTCCCCTCCCCACCTTCCACCAACCCATGCCTAAAATCAAACACCCGAACATCAGCATTGGCAGCACCACACACCACCCTCTCATCCTTTATATCCACGCACATTACCGATGAATTCAACCCCCCTAATCTCCTCGCAACAGCCCCTTCCACAATCTCGCCGATTTCCCCATTCGCCCCAACAGCCCATGCTGACCCCCACTTACTAATACCATTCCCTGCGCCCCACTTACTATCACCTCCCCCTCCACCCCCTCTTTTCCACCACCCCTCAAATCCCGCCATCCCCCCTCCTCTCCTTTTGTCCCCACCGATCCCGTTTCTCCCCAGCCGATCCCCTTTACAAGCCCATCCGCTGGCTTTACAGCGACCTGCAACTGCAGCAGCTGCTCTGACGTCCATAAGAGCACAGGAGCCGTCAGTAGAAGCCGAAACAAGCCATGGGTCTTCAAAGGCAAGACAATTCACGTCATTGCTGTGTGCATGCCACTCTGCCACTGTGTCCCATACACCTCCCTCTCCTCCCTCCCCTCCTCTCCCTGCTCTACCTGCTTTTCCTCCTCTTCCTCCTACTCTCTGATCAAACATCCTCACCACCCCATCCTCCCCTCCAGAAAAGACAAAACGGCCACACAGGCTCGCTTGCACGGCAAGCGCCTTCCCGGTGTGCGCTGCCACGTGTCGCTTCAGGAGCGCTCCAGTCTCCACGTCCCAGCAGTACACGTCAGCACCAGCAGTGGAGAAGAGGCGGGGAGGGGAGGAGAGTGAGGGGGAGAAGCGGGGTTGGAGCGAGTATACCCAGTCAGCATGGCGAAAAGAAGAGATGGTTAGAAAGGAAGAGGAAGAAGAGGAGGAGGAGGATGACGAAGAGAGGGAAGATGAGAGGTCCCAGCAACGAATGGTCGAATCCCACGACCCCGAGAAGAGGAGACGGCGGGACGAGACAGGCGAGGAGGACGAAGCGGAATCGGCAGAGAATGATGGGAATGGGGAAGAGGAGGAGGAGCGGGGAATTTGCCACCTGTTTGACCCTGGAGCATGGTACCCCTCCAGAGCCAGACAGGTGATGGGACCCATGTGACCGTGCAGCAGGATGGGAACCGAGGGCAGGTGAGATGGAGGAGCAGCAGCAGTAAGAGGCGGAGGAGGAGACGGAAGCAAGGGAGATGACGACAGAGCTTCTTCTGAGCCAAGCGGTCCGTTTCTGACAGAGTCAGCAAGTTGGGCGGCAAGGGCCTTAGCGGCTTGGGTATGGGTCCACATGCCGGAGACGTCAAACAGATACGGACAATCGTTTGCCGCCCGCCACACCCGGATCACCGCGTCCGTGCCGCCCACTGCCAGAAAGTCCAGCCCTGCCGCCACGGACCGTACCGTCTCGCCAAGTGGCGGTGACGTGGCGATGGGGATTCCGCCGCTGTAACTGTACCCATAACTGTAACTGCTGCTGAGGTTGTTGAAACTACCAGAGTTGTAACTGTTACGGTCGGATGAGGTGGGAGTGGTACTGGGGTGGTAACTGGTAGTGCTCCAATCATCCAGTGACCAGATTCGAATGGTCGAGTCATAACCAGCGGTAATGGCCAGCGAGAGGGGTGGGTTCAGAGGCGGTTCGAGCAGAGAACGGGGACAGGGGTGCGAGGAAGATTGTGAGGGAGCGTGTGAGGGGGAGAAGCGGAAGGGCGGACGAGTAAGCATCCTCACAGCACGCACGCCTGAAGTGTGACCGGCGAGGAAATCGCTCTGGAACCTTCCTAGGTACGCCATTGAGCGTCTCTGCCGCTGCAAGTACATCTCCCTCCAATTCACCCCACTTGTACCCATACTACCACCATCGGTACCACTGTCACCAGTGTCACCACCGTTACCACCACCATGACTGACACCAATCTCCCTTGATTCCCTTCCCTCGCTCTCCTCCGCTCCCACTGCTCCTACTCTTCCATGCCTATGGGCGCTGACAGCAGGTAACGCGCCTGATGTTGACGCGTAACTGCTACCCTCCCCTCTATTGCTCGATTCCCTCGTCTCGCTTCGGCTGCTCAGTCCTCGTCTACGCTCTTCCTCTTTCACTCCTCCTCCTCTTCCTCCTCCGCCTCCCCTTCCTCTTACGGCTCCTCCATTTTTCCTTCCACCGCCTCCCACCGATCCGTCTTGCCCTCCTCCCTCTCTTCCTCCCTCCACTCTACCACCACCTAGACCAATCACAGGCGGTGCCCATCGCTCGCAGTAGAACCGCATCCAAACGCACGATTCTCCTGCCAGGCGATGCAGCAGGCGGCAGCAGCAGGACAGCGACGCCAGATCGTGAACGTCCAAATGCCGGAGCACCTCCAGGATCAACGGATGGGGTAAATCCAGAAAACTCATGCTTGGACCAGAATAATGTGGTTCACCACCGGAACTCCCCACTGATTGGCCCAGAGTCTCCAGGCTACGAGTCGCCTCGACGCCTCGCCGAATTTCCAGGCTTTCTGAGTGGCTCGGCCGTTCCATGCCACCACCGCTCTCCTCTATAGCAACCGGTCTTGTTTCCGGCTCAACCCGCTCCTTAATCCCCTCCTGCGAGGCTAGGTTCCGAGCAAGCGCGGACGGACCAGGATCGCCTAAAGCCGGCTCGGCTTCATCTGAAGCGGGATTGAGATCGTGCGGATCGTCGAACCAGGCCGCGTCAGCGGCGCCAGGTGGATGGCTGTGATAGTTGTGATGCCGCGAATCTGGCAATTCGGCCTCGCGTGACGATGGGCTCGCTCCCGATGACGTGGCAAGCCGCGATGACGCGTGTAAGAGCATGATGGCTGGGAAGCACGCGGTTCAGGACAGGAGAGACAAAATAAATTGAGGAGTTCACCAGCAGGCTCGCATGATCAGGTCTAAAGAGCATGGCAGAGCAGCGTCCTGGTTCTGCGTGTGGCTCTATTTAATATTGAGGTTCATATTAGTCGCCACTGTGCTCCCGTATGCAAATGAGATGTAGCTTATGTATAAACCAGCCTAATCTATTGCATCGAGTTAGATTGAAAGCTGGACGCTGGAGCTCGTGTTGTACGTGCGGACAACTTTCGGTAGAGCACGAAACTTGTATCGGGTCTCTTTCTCTGATAGCTTGCGCTGTACTTGTTGTCGACCGCGCGCGATTTGGGGACCCTCACACCGGATTTACGTGGAAAGGTCATCTCATGACAGGGCATGTCTCATCGGTGAGTCTGCATTCCGTGCTTTCTGACATGCAGCTGTGTCTTGACCACTATGATTGAGCCACATGGCAGGTTCGGTTCGGAGCACCCTGCCATGCCGTTCATGTTGCGCATCTTCCCGTTTTTCCCCCCCGCGACTCCAACCCACAACCGCAATCGTTGAAGCCCAACCGGTGAGATGCTTGGAAACAGCAACTTTCGCACAGCCTATTGAAGCTTTTGCGACATGTGACCGCACCAACCTTCAACCACACGACACTTTCGCGAGCACTCACACTCTCCCTCCCTACCGAAACGACGCTTTACGACATGCGACCACACACATCTCCCGTCCGTCCAGTCTCCATCATCGATGGCCGACCTGAGAGAGCTCATCATTGATTGGATATAGGCGGTTTCCCGTCACCGCAACTCACAGGGAATCTTCCAATAGCTGAGGCTCAACCACACTTTACCGTACTCGAAATTATTCCACATTACTCAACCTCAACTCATCCCTAATCAACCAGGCAATCCTACTCTCGATGGTTGCTATGTCTGTTCTTTCGGTTGACGGAGAGTCCGCAAGGGGGTTTGTATACTGACACAGCTGTTTTCTTGCTGGACTCCTGAATCTTGTGACTGAATGATAACTGACTGTCATAGACTTGCTTGTGAGCACCATAACTTTCAAAAATTTACCTCGCTTGACCTTTTTTCGCAGGTGTTGTTCGTTCCAGTGTATGAGGAGGAGGGTCTCTTCGCAGCAGAGTAGGGTTGTCTCGAACCAGAGTACTAGACGCTGCTTGGGTTTTGCAGCTGTTTTTATGTTGGATCATATGCGGAGAAGGACACTTCCGATAAACGTGTTGTCCGATCGAACCCTGGTCCTATAGCCCGTGTTTTACGTCATCCTGTACATTTTCCATTTGTACATTGTAGAGTGAGCTTGCCTCCGTACCGATAAGTTACAAGGTCGCCGACGTATCTCTTCAGCAATGGCTGAGACTCAAGATGTCATGATGCTCTGTGTCCATATGGACAACAAGAGACCGGGCTCTTTCCAGTTAACTCCAGGCGTCACGCCTGGAACCGTCTCAACGTCTCAAATCAGCCAGCATCCAGGAATTTCCAGAAGGCGAGGCGAAGGCCTGAGACAAGAGGTGGTTTCTAACGCCAACCAGACAACTTCTAGGCGAGGCTCCTTCGAGCTGCAAAACGAAGACCGCGTTGCGATCTCTTCAGGCCTCGGAGGAACGGCGTTTCAGCAGGAGAAAGGGTCCACCGACCCTCATAGCGACCCTTGGTGGTCGGCGTAAATTTTATCTAACGGTTCAATTTGTTTGGGCTTGAGGTAATCCGTGCAATGCCTTTCTCAACGCCTTCGTCTTATCGCTTCCAATGCCTTGTTTCCTATCTGGCTAGTTAGCCAGGGAGCTCCCCATTGGGCCTCCCCATTGTTTCTTGGGGATTCATTGAGTTTGTGTGAGTGACTGAATCGATGTCTTTGTACAGGTGCCATGTTCCGTGTGACTGAATTTCATGTACCTACTGTTTAACGGACGATACTTCTATTTTGGAGCCTCTAACATCAATATTATGCTGGTTACTGCCACGATGTCATGTGTGCTACATGTTATGTGTGCTTGGATACGTAAATGGCTTGAACAGAGAATGAAGAAAACAGCACTTCAAAGGAAAGACACAGCACAAAGAACGTACAAACAAAAAGCCTGGAATCGATACAACACAACAGAACATATTCCAACCATATCAGCATTCCACCATTGCTGCTTCTGTCACGTGTCACCGTGCTACAACTGAAGTTGTAGTAGCAAACAACCCCTTGTACACCAGTCAGTATAACCATCCGCCATTTATTAGTGCAGCCGCAGTGTCAGCGGCAACGGCAGAAGCAGCAGGCGCAGCGTAACCACCAGAGCGTTCCTTCCCCTTGTTGACATTGCTTTGTATTCACACCACCCGTTCCAAACAACTCGAGAATCCATTGCTGCAACTCAATCAGAGGACCCCATGCAGTATTTCTTAACCACTGGTTGCAACTTGCCAGCCCTTTTTTAAGCACGCCGCTGACGCACTCCTCCTTCACCGCCCTCCCAGCCAACTCGCCCATTGCCTTGCACTGCTTCGATTGTGAACCCTCCCCCCACGCCTCCCCACCTGGTCAACTTGAGCTGGGAGACCAGTTTTCCTCAGCCCCCATCCTCCTCGTCACATTCGGGTAAATCACCCTCCATAAATGGCATCCCCAAAGAGGCACCACCATTGAGCGCCTGCTCAGGAAAACTCTCCCCTAGCCAGTTTCCAGACCTCGCCCCGTACTTTTGCCGAAGCTGGTGGCACGGAAGGAAGTTGCCTTGCGAGTCCGTGCCGTGGAAAAGAAGGTAGAGGTATGGATGGGAGAATCTCGTCTGTGGGACGGGAGGAGGATGGGGAGGAAAAACATAAGAGTGGAGATAAACCAATGGAGAGATATGCGTAAGGAGAAATGATGGGCAAATGGATTGGAGCTAGACCTAGGAATGGGGGATGGGGCATGTGAAGAAAAGTAAAGACAGGATCCAGTACATTTGCAAGAGTCTGAGATCTGGAGACCTCTCAACTTGAAGTATTTTTGGTGCAAGCACCGAGGATACGTACTGTTGTCGGCTCGCTGGGAAGGGTTAGTAGATCCTCGGCCACTGCAAGGAAAGAAAGATCGAAAATTGAACGAAATAAAGAAGCAAGAAAGAAACAGAAGAAAGAGCTGGAGAGGGGGAGCGAGAGAGGGGGAAGAGACGAAGGGGGAAACGGATACATGCGCTCGAAGAAACTAAAGGAGAAAACCTAACGCCAACCTCAGCGATGCTGCTTTCAGCTGTGCGTATGGCAACCCATATTGGTATCACTCACCGTAAGCTACTGGGAAGCTTCCTCCATCAGCAGAGTCCAAGAGAACCTGCTTGGTGCAGTGCAGTGGTACGGGATGGGCGAAGAAAGTTACGACGATGAGAGACTGCAATGCGTTGGCCACGGTGGAAAATGTTTATATTACATGGTGCCATAACTACATTTATCATGACCGCCCAGTGAGGTGTTCATGAATTAAAAGGCAGCACTAAGGCATGATAATATCGTGTTAACTTGCTTAGTGCATTAGAAACGGTAGGAGGCCAGAGTTTAGGGTGATTCAATTCCACACCTGACACATGTTTAAATCATTTGGTACACATGTCCAATGAAGTAGCTGGAAAAACCAAGTCTTACACTAAAAACAAATGGTGACCATGGAGACTCAAATCTGACAGGAAGGTCAATTTGATTGGAAACATTCGATCTGATTACCGAACAGATTGAAGATATTTGACCCACCAAGCGTGCATACCTGGTAAAACGGCTGACAGGGTCCTCTGGGAAGGCCTGCCACGTCAGCAGCCGCCATCCACTCTGCTGACTCGCAACACACGGGATCCACGCCCACCACCACGGCAGTATAGGCTGGGAGGGGGGAGGGGGCGGCGGAATGGGAAAGGGGGATGGGGAGGGGGGAGAAAAGTGGGTTGGACAACTGTAAGTGGGGGTGAAAGGGAACAGGCCATAGGGATTTCAAAAGCCACTACCAGCACGAGGAATCCACACCCACCACCACAGCTGTATAAGCTGGCAGAGGGGAGGGAGCACAGGGGGAGGGGAAGCAAGAAAGAGGGGGCTAGGCTAGACAATGGCATCAGGGAGAGAATATGAAAGGAAACAGGTCGTTGTTGACAAAAAAAAAAAAAAAAAAAAAAAAAAAGGTGGGGGGGGGTGGTTGGGGGAGGGGAACTGCAACAAAATGGTAACAGGACCCTTACTGTCCTGCTCGACTTATATCTTTCCCCACTTTTCCTTTCCCCCCACCCACACCCCCCCCCATCTCTCCCATTCCCCACACTCCCCCCACCCCCTCCCCTTCTCCTGCTCTATCTCACCGTGTGCTACGCTGTACGCGCTGCCCCAACTGAAAGTGCGTTTTGAGGCACCATTTCACAAAGAGCTCACTATCCCCCCCAACCCCTCCCCACCCACACGCCTTCCTGCTCACTCTCACGTGTCCCAACTGAAAGCGGCACCTCACCGCCCCTGCTTCTTCCCCACACCCACCCATCCCTTGCCCCTTCACCTCCTTCCTCCCGCTTTCCCTGTCCTCCTCCCCCCCACCACTCCCCCTGCTGCTGCTCCTGCCTCTCAACGTGTTTGCGGTGCTGCACGCGCTCCCCCAAATCAAAGCGACTTTCAAGGCCCCTGTTTTCCCGCACACCCCTTCCCTCCCTCCCACTCCCCCTTTTCCGCCTGCTGCTGTCCTCTCTCACCGTGTCTGCAGTGCTGCACGCGCTCCCCCAACTGAAAGAGACCCGCACCCACTACGCCCACCCAATCGCTGGCCCTTTTCCACACTCCTTCCCCTTTTCCACACTCCTTCCCCTTTTCTTCCGCCCTCTATACTCCCATCCTACTGCTGCCCTCTCTCACCGTGTCTGCAGTGCTGCAGGCGCTACCCCAACTGGAAGCGACACCTCACCGCCCCCGCTTCCCCACAACCATGTCTGCAAGCCCTTACCCCTCCTGCTGCCTGCCTCTCACCGTGTCTGCAGTGCTGCACGCGCTGCCCCAACTGAAAGAGACAGCGACACCTCACCGCCCCCGCTTCCCCTTCCTCTCCCCCTGCTTTTCCCCCGTATGCTACCTGCTGAAGCTCCTCCCTGCGCAGCAGGCAGGCGGAATGAAAAAAGGGGGAAGGCGGGAGGGGGGGAAGGACGGGGGGACATGGTACACGGGGAGGCCGAATGAGGCAGTGAATGAATGAGGTCAGGGAGGCTGGGCGGGGGGAGGGGAGACGGGAGGTCAACGAAGGTCAACGCAAGTCAATCCAGTCAATCAAGTCAACGCACTCTGGGACCAGTCAGGCTGATGAGAACCAACCCGAGCACAGACAAGTCGAGCCAGGTCAGCAGAATAAAAAAGTCAAGTCAACAGAGTCAACGCACTTTAGGGTGCGCATGGAGAGAGGACCATCCTCCACCAATGGTGGCATGCAGCTGAAACTGCTGCTGCCGTCGCCGCTGCCGCTGCCGCTGCCGACGCCGCTGCTGTGGCTGCTGCTGGTGCTTCCCACGGCGGAAGGGGCAGTGGAAAGGGCAGTGGAAGGGGCGGCGGAAAGGGCGGCGGTCGGGGGGGCGGTCGGGGGGGCGGTCGGGGGGGCGGAGTGGTTGGCGAAGGGGGTGGGGGAAGGTACAGCGGAGGGGAAGGAAACGGCGGCCTTGGCGTCTCGTTGCCGCGCCGTCTCTCTGTCGATCTCCGCGATTTTCTCTCGTAGCTCTTGTGCTGCTTCGTACTGGTCCGTTTGCAGCGCTCTCTGCGGGAAATGGGGGGGTTGGGGGAACGCGGAGGGGAAAAGGGAGGATGGGGGCAGGGAGGTTTGAAGGGGAGGGAACGGGAGGAAATGTATCTCTGTCTATCTCCGCCGTTTTCTCCCGTAGCTCCTGCGCTGCTTCGTACTGGTCCGCTTGCAACGCTCTCTGTGCGGAATGGGGGGAAGGCGGTATTGGCGGAAGGTGAAGGGGGAAGGTAAGCGGGAGGGGTTGACGTGGGTTGGGGAAGGAGGGGGAGGTGGAAATGGAACAGAATTCCGGCCGATCCTCGCCGGATGATCCCTACCTGCGCGTCACCAGCGCCCTATCTGCGCCCTACATGCGCCCTACCTGCGCCCCACCTGCGCCCTACCTGCGCCCAACCCGCGCCCAGCCATACCTGCGCCCAACCTGCGCCATACCTGCCCCGACACGGCGCCCTACCTCCAGCCACGTGTTTAAGTCAGCGCCCTACCTCCAGCCGCGCGATTAAGTCCATTCGGTAGAAGAACAGCAGCAGCTCCTCATTCACCATCGCGCTATACTCCGCCTCCACGCCGCTTATCGAAGCGCCACTGCTTCCCCCGCCGCTGCCGCCGCCGCCGCCGCAACTGCCGCTGGGCGCTAGCGATTTATCAACGATGGGTGGAGACAGGGGCCGCCAGATAGCTTGTCGCGGCGCGCTCTGCTGAGGATGTTGTTGTTGCTGCTGCTGCTGCTGAAACTCCTGCTGTATCTCCTGCTGTAGTTGCTGCTGTAGCTGAAAGAACGTCGCAAAAGTCGGGCTAGTGGGGGAGCGACACGTATTGAAAAACGCCATCGCAGCGCCCGCGGAGAGGCGCCCCGTTCGGCGCCGCGGAGTGCGCGGAGAGGCCAGGCGTGGGGAGGAGCGACTGCGCCCCATCCGCGGGCTGCTGCCGACGGTTCCGCGGGAGAGGCCTCCGCGCGGGCAGCGCACGCGAGGAAGGCGCAAGTGATTGGTGAAATGGGGACTAGAAAGAACCTCCACTCCTCCGCCGTCACCGCCGCCGCCGCCGGCAGACATGGCGGAGCCGGCCAAATAAGGAGCTATGCTGATTGGCGGAGGGACGAGATAGGACACTACGTTGATTAGCGGAGAAAGACGGGCGAAAGGACTAGGCGGCGAGAAGGCAACTTGAAGAAAGCGGCAAGATCTAGGTGATACGATGTCGAGTAGATGCTGCGCTGACGAAATGGGATGTGGTGCTAAAAAACAAAAAGACGGGGATTAAGCCGGCCACAAGAATTCAACAAGAAAGGGGAACGCGGTAGGATGCGTGTGTAGCGAGTTCTCCAGCTGGATTTTCGCTGAGGGTAGCTTTTGCGGAATGCAGGAAAGCTGCGAATTCAAGAAACGAGTGAATAGGAGCCAAGCTAGGTTTGTTGCAGAAACAAGCCAAAACAGAGTTATGTGGCAGAAATATGGGATGGGAGAACTGCGTTGCAATTTGAAAAATAACGACTGGCAGCGCAAACTTGCGAGCGATGCCGCAGAAGCATCTAGATTAAACATGAAGGAGAAGGGGGACGGTGCGCGGAGACGGGGAATGAGGGGGGGTGAAATCGGTTGAGGCTGGGGTGGGATTGGCTGGGTGGGTCAATCTGGGCAGGATTTTAGGGGCTCTTCCGCGTGCGCGGAGCCAAGAGGGGCAGCAATTGCGCGTTCAGTTGCGGGTGTGCCACAAGCCAAGCAAGGGGGGGTGGGGGGGGGGGGAAGGTGGGGGGAGGGGGTGGCGCTACCTGCTGTGGCGGCGCCGCTTGGCGTCGCGCGGGTCGCAAGAAGCATGCTCCCCACTTCCTTCGCAGGGAAGGGGCACGCGCAAGGTGGAATGTTTTTGGCGACTGGTTCGGGTGCTGTGGTGGTTGTCGCCAGCTCCGCATGAACTGCAGTGTTGTTGGTGATTCGTCAACGACGCATGGGACTACGTGGTATTTCGCCAACCCTTTTATGCGATAGATATCGCGAAGTGCCGAACATATTTGACGAGTCTCGCTAAATATGCATTTCACGTGACATGAGATATTGTTTGGTTCGGAAACATCGAGCCCGAACGAAGGGCAGGGCGGAATACCCACTCGGTGCACAAAACGGGAGAGAAAGAGCGCGATTTGGACGCTCCGCTGTAGTTACGAGAAACATAAATGTTTACTGTTGCAGAAAATGGGTAGATACACTCCCTCCGTTGCCCTGATTAATCTCATTAATATATGGGGACCGGAAGGTTCGCGGAGGCAATGGGAGCTTTCTTGGGCAGAGCACTCCCGTAATCCTCGGTAACTCGGCCACCCACTCCCGTAACTCCCTTGCCCGATTACGGGGCGATAAAAACCAAGAATCACTACGGATCGCACCTACTCTAATTCGTCCACGTCGGAGCGACAAAGCCCATCGCTGACCCCGCGGAAGTTTAATTCCGCGTGAGCACACCATGCGTTATATTCGCGTTTATTTCGAAAACGAGGAAGAATCATTCGCGCCCAGATTATGTCTCAGCTCACCACGTGTTTATTTCTCAGTCGTTACAAAAGGTCGTCGAGTCGCTCATGACCCGTGACAATGTTGACGAGAACGGTACACTTGTTAAAATCGAGGTCGTCGAAAGCAATCTGCGATATTCCTCGATTTCGCTGGCACAACATGACTATGTTAAGAATGAGAAGTGATTGGACCAGGAAAAGTGTGGGATACAAGTAGGAAACCCTAAAGTTACCATACCCCATAGTATCTACCCCACTACAGCCTAAACAACTCTAGCAGATATAACATTTGACACACCCCCATAGGCAAAGTGGGGGAGAGCAAGGGGTCACAAGACTAGTCAAGAAAGACAAAGCAAGCTCAGGGTGGATCACAACGTCACCGCACTCACTAAGCACAAGCAAGAGGCCATAAGGCAAGTTCACATGCAGAGGCATATATGTAACACAAGCATCACAGTGATCTCTACCTAGCAAAGCAAGCATGCAGGTATACATATATAGATCAGAGTACAGGCAAAGTCTACAACAAGTGAGGAAAAGTGGGCAAAAGCCCTACCGTCATCGCCCGGATATAAGACAGTGTCGAATTGAAGACATGGGGTGTCGTTAAAACGGGTGTTTCTTATAGATGGGTGTTCCTGATTATAAGACAACTGTCGGTGTGTACAAGTTAAGCCAGTATAGGGATTAGGGGCAATCTTATGACTAGGGGGTATCTTCTAAATGGTTTTTTGTCCATTTATAAGAATTATAAGACACCCTAAACTGTACCAATTACAAGACACAGCAAGCTTTTTTTCTAATGTATAAGATTGTGAAACAAGTGAACAGGAATGAAATGACTAAGTCAGAGTTGGGTACAAATACAACCCTAGAAAGCTGTACCCCATATGTGCTACCCCACTATAGCCTACAAACATGCATCAGCTATAATACTCTGACACACCCCCATAGGCTAAGTGGGGGAGAACAAGGGGTCACAAGACCAGTCAAGCAAAGCAAAGCAAAGCAAGCTCAGGGTGGATCACAAAGTCACCACACAGTCCGAGCACAAGAGCAGGGCCAGAGGCCAGTTCACATGCAGGAGTACAGACATATATATAAAACTAGACAAGCAAGAGCAGGTATATATATATGTCACAGTACAAGTGAAGTCAAGAGGAGAGCAAGTGAGGCAAGACAGGTACAAGACCCAGCTGGGTGCAAAAGCGCTGATGGTCACAAGGCGCGAGTGCCTTGGTGAACACATCAGCAGTGTTGGCCTCAGAGGCCACGTACGCAAGTCGCAACTGACCACGCTGCTGCAGCTCACGAGCAAGGTGTGAAACTGAATGAACAGGAATGATCAACTATGAAATGAAAACAGTACAAGTACCAACCCTAATTGGGTTGTACCCCTTATGTGCTACCCCACTACAGCCTACAACATGCATAAGCTATAGTAATCTGACACACCCCCATAGGCAAAGTGGGGGAGAACAAGGGGTCACAAGACCAGTTAAGCAAAGCAAAGCAAAGCTCAGGGTGGATCACAAAGTCACCACGCATTCCGAGCACAAGTTCAAAGGCCAGACGGCCAGTTCACATGCAAGATCATATATAGAGATATACAAGAGTCAAGCAAGCAAGAGCAAGAGTATATATAGGCGAAGGTACAAGCAAGGTCAAGAGGAGAGCAAGTGAGGCAAGACAGGCACAAGACCCAACTGCGTGCAACAACGCTGATGATCACAAGGAGCAAGTGCCTTGGTGAAGACATCAGCAGTGTTGGCCTCAGAGGCCACGTACGCAAGTCGCAACTGTCCACGCTGCTGTAGCTCACGAGCAAGAAAGTAGCGGAGAGCAATGTGCTTCGTTATGTGCTCCAGTCGCTGCTCTCGACACAAGGCCAGCATGGCCTTGTTGTCTACGTACAGGACTGGAGGAGAACGAGGCTGCTCTCCAAGGTCGGTCAGCAGGTAGGTGAGCCAGCGTAACTCCTGCGCAGCCATAGCCCCAGCGTAGATCTCAGCCTCACAACTGGAGCCGAGAACAGAAGACGAGCGGGTAGCCCGCCACGAGACAGAGCCGGAACCAAGGCTGAAGGTGTAACCCTGTGACGACCGCTGCGTAGCCTGGTCGTCAGCCCAAGAAGCGTCTGCGTGCCCAGTGAGGACCACTGGACTGCGCCCTCCAAGCACTAGCCCCATGCGCGACGTACTGCACAAGTAACGCAACACCCTCTTCGCTGCAGCCATGTGCTCTGGTCGGTGTCTCCCAGGAGCAACAAAGCGTGCGAGAATGCTAAGAGGGTATGCGAGGTCAGGTCGTGTGCAGGTCATCAGGTACATGAGGCAGCCAACAAGCTCTGCAAACGGACCACTCGACTCTACGGACTCATCCGAAGGCAGAGCTGAGAGCGAGTGGCGAGTAGGCAGAGGAGTGGCCTGAGGCGAGGAGTACGTGAAGCCGAAGCGCTGAAGGACCTGCTGCACCATGTGTGACTGAGTCAGGGTAATGGTGCGGCGTGCTCTGTCCCGGGTGATCTGCAAGCCAAGGTAGCTACGCAGTTCACCCAGGTCAGTGCACGTGTGTCTCTTCTGCAGCTCGGACTTCACGTAGGCGAGTCCAGCAGTGTCAGCTGTGGCAAAGACCAAGTCGTCGACGTACACGAGAATGTAGAACGGCGGCAGAGAGGTGTCGGTGCGCAGAAACAGCGACGGGTCGGCAGTAGAAGGAGCAAACCCAAGTGCCGCGAGCGTAGTCCTCAGTGTGTCGTGCCACTCACGCGGCGCCTGGCGGAGACCGTAGACTGGACGCCGGAGACTCCACTGGGTACCAGGAGGGAAAGAACCAGTGAAGCCAGGTGGGCGATGCAACCAGATCTCCTCGTGCAGGCTGCCCTGCAAGAAAGCTG